TAATAATAATAATAATAATAATAATAATAATAATAATAATAATAATAATAATAATAATAATAATAAAGTTGGAAGGGACCTTGGAGGTCATCGAGTCCAACCCCCTGCTCAGGCAGGAAACCCTATACCATTTCAGACAAATGGCTGTCCAGTCTCTTCTTAAAAACTTCCAGTGTTGGAGCATTCACCACTTCTGGAGATAGGTTGTTCTACTGGTTAATTGTTCTAACTGTCAGGAAGTTTCTCCTTAATTCTAGGTTGCTTCTCTCCTTGATCAGTTTCCACCCGTTGCTTCTTGTCCTTGGAGAATAGCTTGACTCCCTCTTCTTTGTGGCAGCTCCTAAGATATTGGAACACTGCTATCATGTCCCCCCTCGTCCTTCTCTTCGTTAAACTAGACATACCCAATTCCAGCAACCATTCCTTATATGTTTTAGCCTCCAGTCCCCTAATCATCTTTGTTGCTCTTCTCTGTATTCTTTCTAGAGTCTCAACATCTTTTTTACATCGTGGTGACCAAAACTGGATGCAGTATTCCAAGTGTGGCCTTACTAAGGCATTGTAAAGTGGTATTTATTTAGCGTATAGTATCTGCAGAGGTCATGCAATCATTGATATAAATTATACATTTATATTACATTTACTTCTAAATTCATCCAGTTTAATGCACTTTAGAAATATATAAAGCAGTACTATTTGATAATGGTGCTGGTTTGTGGTCTCTGGCTCATCTTTGGCACACATTGGCACTATAATTTATCTGCATTTAGTTTTGCTACTTCCCGGTCTGTTTTCTTCCTGAGAACGGAAATACTGTATATGTTTACTTAGGTAAATAAATGTAGAAACCACCACAAAATATCCTGAAATCCTTTTGCCACTACATATGAAGCGTTGCAGAACTATGTAATATTCTATTAAACAACATACCATGCAAGAAAGTAAATTCAGTATAGAGGTACCAGAATATTGCACTCAAAACACATATTTCTGTGAATGAATTTAAGATCCACATCCCATACCAAATAACTAAATCTTATTTTCTATGAAATTTAAACAACATAGTCTAAGAACTGGAATCCCAATCTACTGAATGATTTCCATTCTTTTGTTTAATTGGATTTTCAGTTTGCTCACTTAGCTTGTTTACTCTCCAAGAAATCTAGAACCAACTGAAAAATAGTGTCTTCTCCTCCTCCCAGTTGAATTACAGCAAGCCATCTTAAAAGACCACATTAACTGATATTCCTGAAAATCACTAATTGGAGTTTCATCCTATTTATTTACAAAATGTCCGTTAGCGCTATATAAGCATAAAAAAACTAGTACTTTGCTTACAGTTTGCCCACTGTTTGAGAAGAATTGTGATAATAAAGAGTACTCTACAAAGATAGAGAGGGGTAGATGAAAGATAAGTAATAGTTTCATGTCTGACCAAGCTCACTTTAGTAGTCATTTCAGAAGTAGTCAAATCCAAACACCCTAATAATATGATTGCATGCTTTCAAAATTCAAAAATGGTTCTTGGTCTGAGAGATCTACTTCTATTCTTTAGATATTTAGAGAATAAATTACTATCCCTGAGACTGTCTTGATAGAGATCTGCAGAAATATATTTGAAAGTATGGTATAAGCAATGCGAATCCTAGTGAATTCAAAGAGCTTTTTGATCTTTTAAATTTCTGAATCTTGAACCATGCTACTTCAAGGAAAGCCTTCATATGCAACAATGTTTACTGTATAGTGTTGAAAAACAGATGAGTGAAGAAGTTATGAGAAAAGGAACAACTATTCTTTCCACTCATATAATCTATATTTTAAAATGTGTTTCACCAAACTTATGGAATATGATGTAAAATAACTATATGAAATCGTAAATGAAAGGGGCGTTGTCTTACCTGAACGCCTTTTCTCAGCATGACGATGGAGAATCCACCAATGGGTTAGCTTTGTCTTCTGCCCATAGACTAAGTCAGCCAAGTTGCCATGCCTCCCTCCCTGGAGCAGGACCCCAGTCTCGACTGAGGTGCAGCTGTTGGCTATGATTCAAGTGTGTTGGCTCAATTTTTTCTGACACAGGACCTGATAGGCCCTAAGGGTGGGAGTGGATTCTCCATCGTCATGCTGAGAAAAGGTGTTCAGGTTAGACGACGCCCCTTCTCCAGCATGACGAGTGGAGAATCCACCAATGAGACGTACCAAAGCCTCACTGTCCCTGTGGGTGGGAATCAGTTTGGGCCTGTGTCCCACTCTGATACTACGCATTGGAGGACCCTCTTACCAAATGAGGCCTCCGCCGATGCGAACTTATCATAGTGTCTTACAAAAGGGAAAGGCGACGCCCACGTCGCCGCCCTGCATATTTCTTCAATCGGCGCCTGAGTCGCCCACGCTGCTGATGTTGCAGCGCTGCGGGTGGAATGGGCGGTGATCTGATTAGGAACTGGGAGCGATTGCCCTTGATATGCTTCTGCTATGCAATTCCTGATCCATCTGCCAGTTGTGGATGCCGTGACCCTTCGACCCTTTGAGGGAGACTAGAAGGATACGAACAGGGCCTCAGACTTGCGGAAGGGTGCAGTTCGCTTTATGTAATGCCTTAAGGCCTTACAAACGTCTAAGGTATGCCATTTGCGTTCCAATTCATGGAAAGGCTGAGGACAAAAATCTGGTAGCACCACCTCTTGTGACCTGTGGAACAAGGAATTGACCTTCGGAATGAAGGAGGGATCCAGTCGTAGGATTACCCTATCTGCGTGGAAGATGCAGAGGTCCTCTCTGATAGTGCTGCCAACTCTGAGATGTGTCTAGCCAAAGTTACGGTGACCAGAAACGTGACCTTAAGTGTTAGGTACTGTAAGGTGCAGGTCCAGATAGGCTCAAATGGGGATGAGGCGATGGCCTGTAGGGATATCTGTGGACCATGGGTGGTCTGTTGTTCATTGCACCCTTAATGAAAGAACGCATCATGGGGTGTCTGACCAGTGGTTCAGAGTTGCCATACGTGAGGATAGTGGACAGGGCGGCCACTTGTCTACAAATTGTGTTGGGTGCTAAACCCTTCTTAAGCCCCTTCCACAAGTAGTCTTAAGATCCTTGGAATAGTAATTCTAGAAGGATCTAAATACTGTCTTGCGCACCAGCTACAGTAATTTTTCCACGTGGAGTCATAAATTCTGTTAGTTGTAGGCCTTCTTGAGGCCTGGATCGTGGTAATGACGTCTGGGGAAAAAGACTCCCCTATTAGGAGGCTCCGTTCAAATGCCAGGCGGTTAATTGGAGCCACTGGGGCTCTGGGTGTTGTAAGGACCCCTGGCTGAGGGAGATTTGGTCGTGTGGAATCCTCCACGGAGGAGATATTGAAAGACTCACGAGGTCGGCAAACCACGGCCGTCTTGGCCAGTGTGGAGCAATAAGTATCACCTCTGCTTGTTCCTGCAATATTTTTCTGATGGTTGCTTGCATCAGAGGAAGAGGGGGGAAGGCATATAGCAGCCCCCTGGGCCAAGGCCCCCGGAGCGCATCTGCTCTCTCCGCCCCTGGTGACGGGAAGCGGGAGAAAAACCTCAGGAGCTGAGCATTCTTGGGACTGGATGGCCGAACTTCTCTGAAGCCTCTCTGAAGAGAACTGGATGCAGGCTCCACTCTGAGTGATCTACTGTTGCCCTGTTCAGGAAGTCCGCCTGCTGATTTGCCTCTCCTGATATGTGCTCGGCCCTCAGGGAGACGAGGTTGTTCTCTGCCCAGATTCCCACCGGCCATGAGAGATCTGGATCGTGTACTCCCATCGGTTGATATGGGCCTTTGCTGCCACATTGTCCGTGAGAACTAGGACGTGCTGATCCGCCACCGAGTTGCGGAAGTGGCGAACGGCCAGGTGTATGGCTCTGAGCTCTAGCCAGTTTATGTTGTGTCTCAGATCTGCCTTGGACCATTGGCCCTGTGCCAGCTGTGATTGAAGGTGTGCTCCCCAACCGAATAGGCTTGCATCAGTGGTCAGGATGACTCAGGTGGGTTCCTTGAACAGGTATCCCTTTTCCACCACTGGGGATGACCACCATTGGAGAGACTTCAGGACCTGTGGTGGGACCCTTACCTTGTGGTTGGAGGAGCTGGTTCCTCTTTTCTGAAACGGGAGCAGGAACCAATGCAGGCTTCTGGAATGTAGTCGTTCCCAGGGCACGATTGCTATGCATGAGATCATCTTTCCCATCAGGTGGGAGAGTATGGCCAGTGTGGTGGCCCATTTCTTTCGAATCTGACTGACCAGGCCTCGAATGCTGGTTCGACGCTCTCGAGATAAGTAGACCTCGCGCTTCAGTGTGTCTATCACGGCTTCCAGATGAAGAAGGCGAGTTGACAGAACTGTCTGACTCTTCTGGAAATTTACTGAGAACCCGTGGTCTTGAAGGGTTCTTAGAGTCAATGCAGTTCTGACTGTGCCGCCTGTGCTAATGATTGTAGGAGGATGTCGTTCAGGTAGCACTGGATACGCACGGGGATGGTTCGTAAATGTGCAGCCAGTGCCGCCAGTACCTTTGTGAACACTCTGGGGGCCGATGACAGTCCAAAGGGTAGAGCCCTATATTGAAGATGTTGGCCTGAGAAACGTCCGATGCTCAGGAAGTATGGGGATGTGGAGGTAAGCCTCCATCAGATCTATGGATGTCGGGAGGTCTCCCCTTCTGATACTGGCTAATATGGACTGGAGAGTCTGCATTTTGAATTTTCTGTATGCCAAGTGATTGTTCAGACTTTTTAGTCTAGAATTGCTCTCCATCCCCCCGAACTCTTTGGGACTATGAATAAGATGGAGTAGAATCCCTTCCCTTTTGCCACGTTGGTACCGGCTCTATAGTATGAATGTCCAGGAGATGCTGGAGGGCTTCCTTGATGAGGCCCTCTTGATCGGATACTTGGGTGATGGGCAAGGGACGAAATGGTTCGGGGGCTTGGAGGTGAATTCCAGTGAGAGGCCGAATTTGATGGTGTTTAGGACCCAAAGGTCCCTGGTGGTGGCCATCTGTATGCGAAGAGGGCCAGCCTGCCACCAATGGGGGAGCTTTCCCCGCCATCACTTGGATTTATGAAAGGGGCGGGCCCCCCGCTCCTCGAAAGGGCCGCTTCGACTGGAATTGCTGCCTAAATCTGATGTTCAGCCTGTTGGGATCTGAGTGAGCTGACTAGCAGGCTAGCCGGCCGTTTTGAATTTCGCGGCTTGAAAATGGCGGTCGTAAGAAAAACTCTCTCTACAGCTGGGGGGAGGTGAGCCAGTATAGAGCGGTCCTGCTGTATTGCGGAGAACTAGGAAAGGCTTCCTTCCACCCGGGGGGAGATTCCTCCCTTAATGCCTTCTTTCCACCCGGGGGAGATTCCTCCCTCCCGCTCTGAAGCCACGCGGTGCCAAAAATGGCAACCGGCTCTTTGTTTCCCCTCCAACGATCAGCTGGGACTTGAAAAAACCCTGCGGTCTGCTCCGATCAGTTGGAAATGGCGGCGAATGAATGCCTGCTCGTTTCCCACCCCCATCTTAGGTAAAAGGTAAGAAAAAGTTAAATATGACCTGATCTAGTGATCTGTCCAAGTTTGTGTGTCCTTTCGGGGGAGAGACTAAGTCGAGACTGGGGTCCTGCTCCAGGGAGGGAGGCGTGGCAACTTGGCTGACTTAGTCTATGCGGGCAGAAGACAAAGCTAACCCATTGGTGGATTCTTCACTCATCATGCTGGAGAAACAGCCATCAAATCCATCCCTATACTCCATACACAAATCCAAATAAAAAAGCATCTACAACAGATGGTAGTCCAGTAATCACTCAAAATACATTTCATGAATGGGAATTCACTGTCTTTTAAGATGGTTTCATTACTGTCCTGCTCTTAATGTTACTTTTATTCTAAATCACTAAGTGAAAATGTTTGTTCTTATCTTTGGCTTCTACAATGGCAAAGAACAGGGTTTCATATTTTTGTGTGTGATACCATGTAAATGATTAGAAAACTGCTAGAATAGTCTCCTCAGTGTTCTCCTCTCAAGTCTAAGCACTTCCTTTTCCATTAATGTCTTTATAGGAATTAATTTCTAATCTCCAAATCACCCTTGTTGTCTGTTTCCAACCCTGTTTCAGTTTGTCTAAATCATATTTAAGTTCTGATGATGGACACACTATTTGAGGTGAAGTGTAATCACTGTAAAATAAAGTGAAACAATTTCTTACTCTAACTTAAATACTATACTTCTAAATTTACCTTTTTAAGCCATAGTCATTGAGATTCATATTATTAATGATCAACTATCATCTCAAAATCTCTTTCATGAGAACTAATACTAAGCCAATTAAACCCATCTGGATTCTTTTTCTTAAGTAACTTTATATTCCTCTTTTATAAATTTCATTCTGTTATTTTCACTCTATTTCTCCTTCTTATCGAATTTTATGCAATCACTTAAGCCATCCCATCCCAAATTGTCTCAGTTTATAATGCCTTTAGTATCTCAGTAATTATTTTCATTGTACCCCCTAGGCTAGTAGTCCATGCAGTATCGAACAGATGTCAAGGTCAGGCATGTTTCCTTCCAAAATTTAAAATATCCTGAACTACCCCTCTGAGTTTGTTGCAGAACCCCAGCATAGACTTTGCAAGCTATTAGCCATCGTACCATTCTTATGTCATTTGCAGTCTAATGATCATTCTCTCCATTTCCCTTCATTAATATCTATAGTCCTATAGTCATTTTAAAACATCAATATGCATGAGTCATGGCCTTTAATGAAATAATTATTTCTTCCATAATCTGGGAAAAAGCAAAGTAAGGAAAATTGTGTCTGACTAAATATTGCTGAACTGTAATTCCTACCATCATTCATTCTTGGTCTTGTTGTTTGGAGTTGCCAAGAACTATAATTCAGCAACAGCTGGCAACCTATATTTCCCTCCTCTGGGTCTATCCCCCACTGGGTCTACAATAAACGAAAGCTGAGCTTTTAAGTGGCAGTACCATATGGAAATCACTATCTGTATAAGTTCATTCTACCTCTTTGCTGATTTTTAAACATTAAGCAAAAGTTGTATATTTCATAAGTTAAAATAGATGTTTCCAGTAGAGCTATGCAATGCTTTGAAAATACAGTATTTCAGAACTCTTTAAAACAACTGTATCTTTTCTAGAGATCATGTGGTTGCAATGAGATTTGCAGCTGTTCTAAAGTTTCTATTTATTTATTCTGCTATACTCCAAACAATGTAAGCAGAATTAAAATACACCAAACTAATTTAAAAAACCCTCAATCCCATAATTGAAGCTCAGAATTCAAAACTATGTATGCTTTCAAGCACTTTGGAACTGAATTTGAAGCACTGATTGTAAATTGTGTAGATTTTCATATATATTTAAATAACTAAAACACAGCAGTGGATCTGTGTTATGAAAGGGAGGTGAACAGGATGTTGGGAAAGTAATTACGGGCCCAATTTGTACAGGTAATCCCCAAGTTACGAGCATTCTCTTAGTGAACGTTCGAAGTTATGTGATAAGTGCCCCCTAGTGTTTATGAAAAAGTCCTAAAATTATGAATGTTGCCATACCACGGCAGTCGTTCGCCCTTATGAACGACTGCAGTGGCACTGCAACATTCACCCTCGCTATTCCCTTCCTCCCCCACCAGGTCTCCCTAGACACTAAGCCTATGTACACTCACATTGTGACGATCGAGAGATCCTTCGCTTTCTTGGCTGTTTTGCTGCTTTCTTTAGTGCGTTCGCAGAGAATGGAGGCCTAACGTAACGCAAGATCATGCGACATCAGTGGAGAGAGATCTCACACTACTGATTTCATGTAATCTCATGGTAGTTTAGGCTCTATTCTCTGCAACAGAAAATGGAACGGAAGCCGGGAGAGAATGGACCTCTGGAAGTATGCAAAAGCCTCCCGCAGCCTCCATTCTGGGCTTCAGAGGCTTGGAGGAGGCCTCTGAGGCCCAGAACAGACCTTTGGAAGCATGTGGCTACTGCTCATGGCCTCCGTTCCGGGCCTCGGAGGCCTGGAGGAGGCCTCCGAGGCCCAGAAGGGGCCTCCAGAACCCTGCTGAAACATCCCCTGGTATCCTTTCTGGGCAGCAGCGATCCAGAAAAGGCCTCAGATTTGTTATGAAATTCATTACTAATAATTTAATCCCACTTTCATTTCTAACAGTTTCAAAGATACTATGTGAAAATTTATTTGAATGATGCTAACTGGTTCAAAGCCACTGTAGCTGAATTCATGTCTAAGGCAGAACTCATGGTCTCCAGATTTCGAGCCTGATACCTTAACTGCTGTATCAAACTAGCTCTCTCTGTTTCATTACTCCATAGAAATATCTAAAAAACTGCTCTCTAGGATTCAAAGAAGGAAGAAAACTCTTATACCAGCAGACATATCAGCAGAAGAAATCTGGGAGACAACGTTCACAATTCATTATATATAAAAGTGGATTGTACAAAGGGAAGGTGACACACTTTTTAAGCTATAGAACAAATGATCACATACATGGAATATAGGTAGTCATACATTCCAACATTCCAATATATTCAATGGAATTTATTGGCATTCCAAATTGAATTAAAATATTGTATCAATAGATTCTAAAGAGCTATAAAGCCATTTCCAATAACCGTCCCACAGAACATTTCAGATGGGGGAAAATGATTGGGCACATATATAATCAATGTATATAAACAGCCTGGATATGTACAGTAGGTTAAGGTAAACTCCTTCCTGTCAATAAAGACGAGAGTCATTTTATTTTGAAATTGACTTCTTGGTACATGTTATTCCAGCACCTCGGGTATCCATCGTGGACAAGTCTACTAAGTTCTCAAACTACATTTCAAACATATATGCTTAGTTTGCATAGAATAAGATAGTTCTTGAACTATTTTAGTCCTACATTAGCCAAAGATAGCCTCTCTTCAATCCGAGGTCATGCAAAAGGCCAAGATAGATCCCCTTCTATTAGTTTCTTTTGAAAATTCTTGCATAAGAAATAGTTTTACAAACATGGATCTAAATAATTATATATAGATCACTTCAAAGGTACAATGTGTATGTTTTTTTATTTATAAGTAGCAGTTTCTAGTTCTAAATTCATTTCAGAATGGTTGGATAACCTAGAAATTGTTCAAAGAATAAATACCTTGTGATGAATTGTAGGAGCTCTATCAGAGACAAATTGCAGAATTTATCCTACCACGTCCCCACAATTACATTATAATGTACTACCTATCTTTGACCCAATAAAGACTGCTTGATTAAAACTAAAATGTTACAGATACAATGTAGTAGCAATTAGCTAAATGATCTATTTCAATGGTTTTTCATGTTCACAAGTTTATTTGTCAGATGGCAAGAATACATTCTAATTTGGGAATACAGAAAAATTGGAGGATACAGGAGTTCTTAGAAGAGTGAAAATGTCTAACTATACTTTAAACTTTGACATCTCAAAGTAGAATTGATAAAACAGTGAGTAAAGGTGAAATTAATCATAGAGAACATAGCCTTTGATCCTTGGACAACAGGAAAAGCATAAGGAGGGCAGAATAACACATTGTAAAAATAGATGTCTATCTGCACTACTTATAACCTAAATCATAGCTTTCATAGTCTATAGCATAAATTTATAAGGTCACAGTGTAACAGCGTTGCCATTTTCTCAAATACATTACGTGCTATATTAGAGATAAGCAATGCAAAGATCTTGGACCAAATGTAGCCTTTATATGTAAAACTACCCAAGCAATAGTCAGTCAAATGTTATTTCTTTCCTTTCTTTCTCTAACACTATCTGAAAACCATGACCAAAAGGTCTATTCTTTGATAGAAGTATCTCAACAATACCGTCATGTGGTTCCTTAATATTGATAATTGTCTGTTCTCCTGTTTGCTCGCAAACTAAGAAAACCCACTCATCTAAAAGATAACAGGATGAATCATATTGTTACATAACATTTTTAGAATTTTTCTACATTATTGAAATGTTAGGCTTTTGCACCCAACATGAGAAGAGTTAGTTTTGCTTCTACCAGTTTCACCTGT